TTGTAGTAGCTCATTCGATCAAGCATTAAAAGCTGTATATAATACCTACTTTTGGAAAGTTTTGAATTACTTTTGAAAAAAATTTTATGATAGAACAAAAAAAAAATTAATTTTTTTTTAAATACTCGAACATTCAACAGGAGCGCGTTTTGTGGTATTGAATACTTCAAAGGGATTGTAGTAGCTCATTCGATCAAGCATTAAAAGCTGTATATAATACCTACTTTTGGAAAGTTTTGAATTACTTTTGAAAAAAATTTTATGATAGAACAAAAAAAAAATTAATTTTTTTTTAAATACTCGAACATTCAACAGGAGCGCGTTTTGTGGTATTGAATACTTCAAGGGATTGTAGTAGCTCATTCGATCAAGCATTAAAAGCTGTATATAATACCTACTTTTGGAAAGTTTTGAATTACTTTTGAAAAAAATTTTATGATAGAACAAAAAAAAAATTAATTTTTTTTTAAATACTCGAACATTCAACAGGAGCGCGTTTTGTGGTATTGAATACTTCAAGGGATTGTAGTAGCTCATTCGATCAAGCATTAAAAGCTGTATATAATACCTACTTTTGGAAAGTTTTGAATTACTTTTGAAAAAAATTTTATGATAGAACAAAAAAAAAATTAATTTTTTTTTAAATACTCGAACATTCAACAGGAGCGCGTTTTGTGGTATTGAATACTTCAAGGGATTGTAGTAGCTCATTCGATCAAGCATTAAAAGCTGTATATAATACCTACTTTTGGAAAGTTTTGAATTACTTTTGAAAAAAATTTTATGATAGAACAAAAAAAAAATTAATTTTTTTTTAAATACTCGAACATTCAACAGGAGCGCGTTTTGTGGTATTGAATACTTCAAGGGATTGTAGTAGCTCATTCGATCAAGCATTAAAAGCTGTATATAATACCTACTTTTGGAAAGTTTTGAATTACTTTTGAAAAAAATTTTATGATAGAACAAAAAAAAATTAATTTTTTTTAAATACTCGAACATTCAACAGGAGCGCGTTTTGTGGTATTGAATACTTCAAGGGATTGTAGTAGCTCATTCGATCAAGCATTAAAAGCTGTATATAATACCTACTTTTGGAAAGTTTTGAATTACTTTTGAAAAAAATTTTATGATAGAACAAAAAAAAAATTAATTTTTTTTTAAATACTCGAACATTCAACAGGAGCGCGTTTTGTGGTATTGAATACTTCAAGGGATTGTAGTAGCTCATTCGATCAAGCATTAAAAGCTGTATATAATACCTACTTTTGGAAAGTTTTGAATTACTTTTGAAAAAAATTTTATGATAGAACAAAAAAAAAATTAATTTTTTTTTAAATACTCGAACATTCAACAGGAGCGCGTTTTGTGGTATTGAATACTTCAAGGGATTGTAGTAGCTCATTCGATCAAGCATTAAAAGCTGTATATAATACCTACTTTTGGAAAGTTTTGAATAACTTTTGAAAAAAATTTTATGATAGAACAAAAAAAAAATTAATTTTTTTTTAAATACTCGAACATTCAACAGGAGCGCGTTTTGTGGTATTGAATACTTCAAGGGATTGTAGTAGCTCATTCGATCAAGCATTAAAAGCTGTATATAATACCTACTTTTGGAAAGTTTTGAATTACTTTTGAAAAAAATTTTATGATAGAACAAAAAAAAATTAATTTTTTTTTAAATACTCGAACATTCAACAGGAGCGCGTTTTGTGGTATTGAATACTTCAAGGGATTGTAGTAGCTCATTCGATCAAGCATTAAAAGCTGTATATAATACCTACTTTTGGAAAGTTTTGAATTACTTTTGAAAAAAATTTTATGATAGAACAAAAAAAAAATTAATTTTTTTTTAAATACTCGAACATTCAACAGGAGCGCGTTTTGTGGTATTGAATACTTCAAGGGATTGTAGTAGCTCATTCGATCAAGCATTAAAAGCTGTATATAATACCTACTTTTGGAAAGTTTTGAATTACTTTTGAAAAAAATTTTATGATAGAACAAAAAAAAATTAATTTTTTTTTAAATACTCGAACATTCAACAGGAGCGCGTTTTGTGGTATTGAATACTTCAAGGGATTGTAGTAGCTCATTCGATCAAGCATTAAAAGCTGTATATAATACCTACTTTTGGAAAGTTTTGAATTACTTTTGAAAAAAATTTTATGATAGAACAAAAAAAAAATTAATTTTTTTTTAAATACTCGAACATTCAACAGGAGCGCGTTTTGTGGTATTGAATACTTCAAGGGATTGTAGTAGCTCATTCGATCAAGCATTAAAAGCTGTATATAATACCTACTTTTGGAAAGTTTTGAATTACTTTTGAAAAAAATTTTATGATAGAACAAAAAAAAAATTAATTTTTTTTTAAATACTCGAACATTCAACAGGAGCGCGTTTTGTGGTATTGAATACTTCAAGGGATTGTAGTAGCTCATTCGATCAAGCATTAAAAGCTGTATATAATACCTACTTTTGGAAAGTTTTGAATAACTTTTGAAAAAAATTTTATGATAGAACAAAAAAAAATTAATTTTTTTTTAAATACTCGAACATTCAACAGGAGCGCGTTTTGTGGTATTGAATACTTCAAGGGATTGTAGTAGCTCATTCGATCAAGCATTAAAAGCTGTATATAATACCTACTTTTGGAAAGTTTTGAATAACTTTTGAAAAAAATTTTATGATAGAACAAAAAAAAAATTAATTTTTTTTTAAATACTCGAACATTCAACAGGAGCGCGTTTTGTGGTATTGAATACTTCAAGGGATTGTAGTAGCTCATTCGATCAAGCATTAAAAGCTGTATATAATACCTACTTTTGGAAAGTTTTGAATTACTTTTGAAAAAAATTTTATGATAGAACAAAAAAAAATTAATTTTTTTTTAAATACTCGAACATTCAACAGGAGCGCGTTTTGTGGTATTGAATACTTCAAGGGATTGTAGTAGCTCATTCGATCAAGCATTAAAAGCTGTATATAATACCTACTTTTGGAAAGTTTTGAATTACTTTTGAAAAAAATTTTATGATAGAACAAAAAAAAAATTAATTTTTTTTTAAATACTCGAACATTCAACAGGAGCGCGTTTTGTGGTATTGAATACTTCAAGGGATTGTAGTAGCTCATTCGATCAAGCATTAAAAGCTGTATATAATACCTACTTTTGGAAAGTTTTGAATTACTTTTGAAAAAAATTTTATGATAGAACAAAAAAAAATTAATTTTTTTTTAAATACTCGAACATTCAACAGGAGCGCGTTTTGTGGTATTGAATACTTCAAGGGATTGTAGTAGCTCATTCGATCAAGCATTAAAAGCTGTATATAATACCTACTTTTGGAAAGTTTTGAATTACTTTTGAAAAAAATTTTATGATAGAACAAAAAAAAAATTAATTTTTTTTTAAATACTCGAACATTCAACAGGAGCGCGTTTTGTGGTATTGAATACTTCAAGGGATTGTAGTAGCTCATTCGATCAAGCATTAAAAGCTGTATATAATACCTACTTTTGGAAAGTTTTGAATTACTTTTGAAAAAAATTTTATGATAGAACAAAAAAAAATTAATTTTTTTTTAAATACTCGAACATTCAACAGGAGCGCGTTTTGTGGTATTGAATACTTCAAGGGATTGTAGTAGCTCATTCGATCAAGCATTAAAAGCTGTATATAATACCTACTTTTGGAAAGTTTTGAATTACTTTTGAAAAAAATTTTATGATAGAACAAAAAAAAATTAATTTTTTTTTAAATACTCGAACATTCAACAGGAGCGCGTTTTGTGGTATTGAATACTTCAAGGGATTGTAGTAGCTCATTCGATCAAGCATTAAAAGCTGTATATAATACCTACTTTTGGAAAGTTTTGAATTACTTTTGAAAAAAATTTTATGATAGAACAAAAAAAAAATTAATTTTTTTTTAAATACTCGAACATTCAACAGGAGCGCGTTTTGTGGTATTGAATACTTCAAGGGATTGTAGTAGCTCATTCGATCAAGCATTAAAAGCTGTATATAATACCTACTTTTGGAAAGTTTTGAATTACTTTTGAAAAAAATTTTATGATAGAACAAAAAAAAATTAATTTTTTTTTAAATACTCGAACATTCAACAGGAGCGCGTTTTGTGGTATTGAATACTTCAAGGGATTGTAGTAGCTCATTCGATCAAGCATTAAAAGCTGTATATAATACCTACTTTTGGAAAGTTTTGAATTACTTTTGAAAAAAATTTTATGATAGAACAAAAAAAAAATTAATTTTTTTTTAAATACTCGAACATTCAACAGGAGCGCGTTTTGTGGTATTGAATACTTCAAGGGATTGTAGTAGCTCATTCGATCAAGCATTAAAAGCTGTATATAATACCTACTTTTGGAAAGTTTTGAATTACTTTTGAAAAAAATTTTATGATAGAACAAAAAAAAATTAATTTTTTTTTAAATACTCGAACATTCAACAGGAGCGCGTTTTGTGGTATTGAATACTTCAAGGGATTGTAGTAGCTCATTCGATCAAGCATTAAAAGCTGTATATAATACCTACTTTTGGAAAGTTTTGAATTACTTTTGAAAAAAATTTTATGATAGAACAAAAAAAAATTAATTTTTTTTTAAATACTCGAACATTCAACAGGAGCGCGTTTTGTGGTATTGAATACTTCAAGGGATTGTAGTAGCTCATTCGATCAAGCATTAAAAGCTGTATATAATACCTACTTTTGGAAAGTTTTGAATTACTTTTGAAAAAAATTTTATGATAGAACAAAAAAAAAAATTAATTTTTTTTTAAATACTCGAACATTCAACAGGAGCGCGTTTTGTGGTATTGAATACTTCAAGGGATTGTAGTAGCTCATTCGATCAAGCATTAAAAGCTGTATATAATACCTACTTTTGGAAAGTTTTGAATTACTTTTGAAAAAAATTTTATGATAGAACAAAAAAAAAATTAATTTTTTTTTAAATACTCGAACATTCAACAGGAGCGCGTTTTGTGGTATTGAATACTTCAAGGGATTGTAGTAGCTCATTCGATCAAGCATTAAAAGCTGTATATAATACCTACTTTTGGAAAGTTTTGAATTACTTTTGAAAAAAATTTTATGATAGAACAAAAAAAAAAATTAATTTTTTTTTAAATACTCGAACATTCAACAGGAGCGCGTTTTGTGGTATTGAATACTTCAAGGGATTGTAGTAGCTCATTCGATCAAGCATTAAAAGCTGTATATAATACCTACTTTTGGAAAGTTTTGAATTACTTTTGAAAAAAATTTTATGATAGAACAAAAAAAAAAATTAATTTTTTTTTAAATACTCGAACATTCAACAGGAGCGCGTTTTGTGGTATTGAATACTTCAAGGGATTGTAGTAGCTCATTCGATCAAGCATTAAAAGCTGTATATAATACCTACTTTTGGAAAGTTTTGAATTACTTTTGAAAAAAATTTTATGATAGAACAAAAAAAAATTAATTTTTTTTTAAATACTCGAACATTCAACAGGAGCGCGTTTTGTGGTATTGAATACTTCAAGGGATTGTAGTAGCTCATTCGATCAAGCATTAAAAGCTGTATATAATACCTACTTTTGGAAAGTTTTGAATTACTTTTGAAAAAAATTTTATGATAGAACAAAAAAAAAATTAATTTTTTTTTAAATACTCGAACATTCAACAGGAGCGCGTTTTGTGGTATTGAATACTTCAAGGGATTGTAGTAGCTCATTCGATCAAGCATTAAAAGCTGTATATAATACCTACTTTTGGAAAGTTTTGAATTACTTTTGAAAAAAATTTTATGATAGAACAAAAAAAAAATTAATTTTTTTTTAAATACTCGAACATTCAACAGGAGCGCGTTTTGTGGTATTGAATACTTCAAGGGATTGTAGTAGCTCATTCGATCAAGCATTAAAAGCTGTATATAATACCTACTTTTGGAAAGTTTTGAATAACTTTTGAAAAAAATTTTATGATAGAACAAAAAAAAAATTAATTTTTTTTTAAATACTCGAACATTCAACAGGAGCGCGTTTTGTTGTATTGAATACTTCAAGGGATTGTAGTAGCTCATTCGATACAGCATTAAAAGCTGTATATAATACCTACTTTTGGAAAGTTTTGAATAACTTTTGAAAAAAATTTTATGATAGAACAAAAAAAAAATTAATTTTTTTAAATACTCGAACATTCAACAGGAGCGCGTTTTGTGGTATTGAATACTTCAAGGGATTGTAGTAGCTCATTCGATCAAGCATTAAAAGCTGTATATAATACCTACTTTTGGAAAGTTTTGAATTACTTTTGAAAAAAATTTTATGATAGAACAAAAAAAAAATTAATTTTTTTTTAAATACTCGAACATTCAACAGGAGCGCGTTTTGTGGTATTGAATACTTCAAGGGATTGTAGTAGCTCATTCGATCAAGCATTAAAAGCTGTATATAATACATACTTTTGGAAAGTTTTGAATTACTTTTGAAAAAAATTTTATGATAGAACAAAAAAAAAAATTAATTTTTTTTTAAATACTCGAACATTCAACAGGAGCGCGTTTTGTGGTATTGAATACTTCAAGGGATTGTAGTAGCTCATTCGATCAAGCATTAAAAGCTGTATATAATACATACTTTTGGAAAGTTTTGAATTACTTTTGAAAAAAATTTTATGATAGAACAAAAAAAAAAATTAATTTTTTTTTAAATACTCGAACATTCAACAGGAGCGCGTTTTGTGGTATTGAATACTTCAAGGGATTGTAGTAGCTCATTCGATCAAGCATTAAAAGCTGTATATAATACCTACTTTTGGAAAGTTTTGAATAACTTTTGAAAAAAATTTTATGATAGAACAAAAAAAAAATTAATTTTTTTTTAAATACTCGAACATTCAACAGGAGCGCGTTTTGTTGTATTGAATACTTCAAGGGATTGTAGTAGCTCATTCGATACAGCATTAAAAGCTGTATATAATACCTACTTTTGGAAAGTTTTGAATAACTTTTGAAAAAAATTTTATGATAGAACAAAAAAAAATTAATTTTTTTAAATACTCGAACATTCAACAGGAGCGCGTTTTGTGGTATTGAATACTTCAAGGGATTGTAGTAGCTCATTCGATACAGCATTAAAAGCTGTATATAATACCTACTTTTGGAAAGTTTTGAATAACTTTTGAAAAAAATTTTATGATAGAACAAAAAAAAATTAATTTTTTTAAATACTCGAACATTCAACAGGAGCGCGTTTTGTGGTATCGAATACTTCAAGGGATTGTAGTTTTTTTCTTTACAAAGTTTATTTAATTATTCTGTTTATCCGGAAAAAAAGGTTTATTATTCATTTTATTTCATAGACAAGTTTACTTTTAATACAAATCATTATTGCTTCAAGTTTTATTTCTTCAATTTTCAAGTTTTATTTTTTACGGCCAACAGGAATATTCAACGGACCTTCTTTCCCTTCCAAGAAAAAGGTAGTGCATTCCCCTTTCCCCTTAAAAAAAAATTTTTTTAATTTTCTAAAATGAATGCTAATATTTCACCTTAACATCAACTTTCCCCCGTTCTACAACAATAAATTGGTGATAGAAACATCGAAGTAAATTGCAGGAGGACTCACTTATCTTCAAAATATTTTTAAAATTAATTAAGGATTTAATGTAGAAATACTTGAATTTTATTAGAAACACCACTAGACTCCTTGAAATTTTATAAAATTATTTTTGGAAGCAAAAAAAATTATTTTTGAGACCATTCGAGATGCCATGTTAACAGTGTCGCCGAAAAGACAATAGCGAGGGGCGGCTATTCCGACCTTTTAAAGGAAATAATTTTTAAGAGAAATTCTGAAAAAATAAATAAGCTTACAACTCCAGCAGCAACAGAACCGCTATGGAATCCGATACGTACCTTTATAATAGAAATAAGTTGTAAAAAATTCTGAAATAAATCAGAATCGGTAAAGTTTATTTTCTGTAGTTTCCGGAAAGTTGCTATTAATTAATTCAAGTTTTATATTTAATAAACTTTAAATAAAATTACAACTTTAAAATTACAAACTTGAAAAAATAATTCAATTAATACAAACTCGAATTAAAAATAAAATAAACTTTAATTGTAAACTTAAATATATATTTAATTCAAGTTTTCAAGTTTAAACTTGAATTGAAGTTTATTTATTTTATTTAAGTTTTCAAGTTTAAACTTGAATCAAGTTTATTTATTTAATTCAAGTTTTCAAGCTTAAACTATAATTCAAGTTTATTTATTTTATTCAAGCTTAAACTTGTTTTATTAAGTTTAAACTTGAATTAACGTACCAGAATTAAATCAGAATTATTTTAATTACAACTTACCATCATTATTTCTTCTGGTCGGTGTGCAACTTTAAAATTTGCTACAAACTTGAAATACAATTGTAAAATATTAAAACAAGTTTAATTTAATATTAAACTAACAGAGCGCATTTTTAATGCAATATCTGCTATATGTTGAACGTGAGCGTTACCATTTTCACGGGGAACGCCAGAAACAATCATGTAAGCATCCCCAATCTTTTTTAAAAAATTTTATTTTAAATATCCAATTTTTTATCTACCGTCTCAACTTTATAAGCATCATGTTTTGCAATTATCGAATCAAATCCAGAAAATAAATCATTAAGGAAATTGACTACTTGGAGGGGTGTTGAATTGCTAGCCATTCGAGTAAATCCACGAATGTCAGAGAAAAGGACGGTAGCGTTCAGATAGAGTTGGGGAGGGACTGCTCGACCTGCCTTGAGATCATCGGCAATTGTGCTTTATTAGAAAAAATTAATTTTTTTGGGATTTTTTTGGGGAATTTTTAGAGGACTATTGAATAGGAGAGAAAGAAAAATTTTAAAAAATTTAAAAAAATTTCTTTACGAGGGCAACATATTTTTCAACAATCTGTCAGCTTGTTGTTGAGCTTCCTCAAGCAATTGAGTCCGTTCTTTAACTAATATTTCCAAATTAGTAGTATAATCTTCCATCATTTTCATCATTTGGTCTACTAGAGACCCGCTTCCGGTAGATTTCAAATTTGAGTTTACAATAGCTTTAATTCTTTTTATATTTGGACGCATTTCTGGTAATTCTAGCCAACAAGCTTCTAATGCCTTTAAAAAAGAAAGTTTACAATCTTAAAAAAGTTTATTTTTTAATTCTGATTTAAATGTAAATTTAAGTTTGTAAACTTGAAAACAAGTTTATTTTTTAAAGTTGGTAATTCTGATTTTATTTTAAATGCAATTCTGATTTTTGTAAACTTGAAATAAGTTTATTTTTAATTCTGATTTTATTTGTAATTGTAAATGTAAGTTTTGTAAACTTTAAAAAAAGTTTATATTTTATGATTGTAATTCTGATTTAATTAAATGTAAATTTAAGTTTATAAACTTTAGAGTAAGTTTATTTTAAAAATTGCAATTCTGATTTGTAAACTTTAAAAAACAAGTTTATTTATTATATCTGTAAACTTAAGTTTGTAAATTTTGTAAACTTGAGGGCAAGTTTATTTTTTTAATCTAATTTTAATTGTAATTGTGAACGTAAGTTTTGTAAACTTTAATTTAATTATTCTAATTTTACCGAAAGCAAT